CCAGCAATGCTACTCCTAGGTATATACCTGAGGAAACCACAATTGAAAGAGATACATTTATCCCATTGTTCACTGCAGCACTATTTCCAATAGCTAGAACATGGAAGCAACCAAGATGTCCATCGATAGACGAATGGATAAATAAGTTGTGATATGTATACACAATGGAATATTACTCAGCTATAAAAAGGAACAGATTTCAGTCAGTTCCAATGAGTTGGATTAATAGAATCTATTACTTAGAACCTATTATACCAAGTGAAGTTCTTCAGAAAGGGAAAGATAAATGCTGTATTCTAACACATATATATGGAATCTAGAAAAAATGGTACTGAAGAAATTATTTTCAGTGAAACAGTGGAGAAACAGAAAAAATATACTTATGGACTTGGGGAGAGGGAAGGAGATGGTGAGCTGTATGGAAAGAGTAACATGGAAACATATTCAGTTCAGTTCAGTTCAGTCGCTGAGTCGTGTCCGAATCTACGACCCCATGAATCGCAGCGCGCCAGGCCTCCCTGTCCATCACTAATTCCCAGAGTTTACTCAAACTCATGTCCATCCAGTCAGTGGTGCCATCTAGCCATCTCATCCTCTGGCATCCCCTTCTCCTCCTTCCCCCAATCCCTCCCAGCATCAGGGTCTTTTCCAATGAGGTAACACTTCACATGAGTTGGCCAAGTATTGTAATTTCAGCTGCAACATCCGTCCTTCCAATAAACACCCAGGACTCACCTCCTTTAGGATGGAGTGGTTGGATCCACTTGCAGTCCAAGGGACTCTCAAGAATCTTCTCCAGCATCACAGTTCAAAAGCATGAATTTTCTGGCACTCAGGTTTCTTCACAATCCAACTCTCACATCCATACATGACCACTGGAAACTTATATTGCCATATGTCAAATAGATAGCCAACAGGAATTTGCTGTATGCCTAACGAAACTAAAACAAGTATGCTGTAACAACCTAGAGGGTTGGGATGGGGATGGAAGGGTGTTTCAAAAGGGATATCCTATCACTTCATGGTAAATAGAATTGGAAACAGTGGAAACAATGGCTGACTTTATTTTGGGAGGGCCCCGCAAGTCACTGCAGATGGTGATTACAGCAATGAAATTAAAATATGCTTACTCTTTGGAAAGAAAGTTATGACCAGCCTAGACAGCATATTAAAAAGCAGAGACAATACTATGTCAGCAAATGTCCATCTTGTCAAGGCTACGGTTTTTCCAGTGTTCATGTACGGATGTGAGTTGGACTATAAGGAAAGCTGAGCACCGAAGAACTGATGCTTTTGAACTGTGGTGTTGGAGAAGACTCTTGAGAGTCCCTTGGACTTCGTGGAGGTCCAGTCAGTCCATCCTAAAGGAGATCAGTCCTGGGTGTTCATTGAAAGGACTGATGTTGAAGCTGAAACTCCAATACATTGGCCACCTGATGCAAAGTGCTTACTCATTTGAAAAGATCCAGATGTTGGGAAAGCTTGACAGCAGGAGGAGAAAGGGAAGACAGAGGATGTGATGGTTGGATGGCATCACTGACTCAATGGACATGGGTTTGGGTAGATTCCAGCAGTTGGTGATGGGAAGGGAGGACTGGCATGCTGCTGTTCATATGCTTGCAAAGAGTAGGACACAACTGAGCAACTGATTTATTTTTGATTGTGTTGGGTGTTTGTTGCTGTGCTTGCTATTCTCTGGTTTTAGGGTCTGTGGGCTACTTTCTATTTTCTGTGCTTGGACTTAGTTGTGGTGGCTTCTCTTGTTGGGAAGCATGAGCTGTAGGCACTTGGGCTGCAGTAGTTGTGCAAGAGCCTAACTGTTTCATGGCATGTATGATCTTCCCAGATCAGGGATTGAACCCATGTCTCCTTCATTGGCAGGCAGATTCTTAACCACTGTACCACCAAGTAAGTCATTCCCCTGCCTGATTCCTGACAACCTTGTGCTTAAAAAAAAAAAAAAAAAAAAAAAAAAAAACTAAAAACCTGTTTAGTAAATTTTCAGGAGTCTGAGCTCTGAGGTCAGTGTCTGTGGTGTCTTTCTCCAAAAGGCTTCAGATGCTGGTTGGCCTCATGAATCTGCCGACAAAGATGGGTCTGGTGGCTGAAGACAGGCTGGGTCTCTGGTGTTCTTCCCTCACCTACTCACTCAGGGCCCCTGAGCCGTGGCAGCCAAGCAGAGTGATGCACAGGTGGGGCTGATACAGCTGTGGAACTGCAATGGTCAGAGTGGAGGGTGTGAGGGAAGCAGCTGGTTCTCCTGCCCCTGTGACTCCTGCTGTCCTGTGTGCCTGTGTAGGGCAGTCACAGCGTCAGGTGAGGCCTGGCAACAGTCGTGGGGACAAGATAGGACCTCGGACAGCTCACGTTCCCACTCCACCCACCTCCCTCCCAGCCCAACGCCACTTCAGGTCTTGGCTTGTGGCTGTTGGCAGCTCCCAGGGTTGGGAGGTTGTGTAAAACACCAGCCTCATTGCTCAAGGTCAGCTGAGACCCAAAGCTCTGGGGTCACACACCATCCCTGCCACCATCCAGGTCATCCCACTTCGGGGCGTGGGGCTGTGGGTGATGGGGGATTTGGGGGTATTGTGGCCTGGCCCAAGAGTCAGCTTTTCAAGGGGAGGGATGGGGAATGGAGGGGTTAGGAGGGAGAAGCTTTAAAAAATGCTCAGGCTTCCAGGGGATTCCAGGCTCAGCTCTGGTGGCAGGTGCAGGTGAGAAACCCAGACAAGTTTCTGGATCCCCACCTTTTTTCAATTGAAGCCGTTCTGCCTGCATCATCGTAACTCTCCTTACCATGACCCCTTAGTAAAGCCACAGAAGATGCAGAGTTTACCTGGCTTCTCTTCCCATAAGGAAACCAAGCCACAGACCCACGTGTTCCTTAAGAAAGCATGAAAGAAATGAGAAAATAATAGTGGCTGTTTATTACTAACACGGTTCACATAGAGACGTTTCACAAGCCTGGAACAGGGAGAGTACTGAGGGCCGTCGCACCCAGTCATGGGGTTTGCACCTCCATCCCCACCCCCACCACGTGGCTCACTCTCCCCTTCTGGTGACTGGGTGACGTCAGCCTCCTGAACACATCCTGGAAGGATCAGGAAGGGAAGAGGTCATTCACAGCGTGATCAAGAATGCCACTGCCTCCACTCTGTGTCAGAGCTCAGTTCTGGGTCTAAGCTAGCATGGCTTCCTGGTGCGGTCACGACCTTCAATCACCTGGTGGGCAGGGTTTGTGTCCCCCTTGTCCCCATGTGCATCCTGGTCACTCCTGGGACCCATGCTGTGCGCATCTGCTCTGCTCACAGCCCACCCTATGGTCTATCAGACTTCAATCGTGAAAGACAAGTGTAAGAAGAACCATTCAATAGTTAAGAATTTCAAAGTCATGACAGCATTGACCAGAGAACATGGGCAGAGGTACAAGGCCCATGCATTATAAAAGCTGCTGTGTGGACTTCAAGGACCCTCCATGTGGGGGTTGGGATTGGGGCCTGACAGGGATTTCCTGCACACGGGGCTCCAGGCTCTGTTCTCAGCAGTGTGGACAACTGTCAGCTCAAATGACAGTTGAGTGGCTCTAGGGCTACCCAGCTCAGCGGAAATTGCAGTTGTGGAAAGGGAGGTCACCCTCCCTTAGCACCCCTAACCTCATACCCCCTTATCAGGCAGCTGAGTGCCTAAACAGCCCCTTCCTTGGCTAGCTCTGAAGACATGGAAGGTGTGGTATCTGAAGAACATACAGAAAACAAAGTTCTGTAAAGCAATTATCCTTCAATTAAAAAATAAATTTTAAAAAATAAAAACCCCACAAACAACAGCTTGCATTCTTGGCCAGCCTCTGCTAGATTCTGCCTATGCTTTTGCAAAAGAACAAAATGCTGACACTCTCACCCTGTATCACAGATGAGACTAGACGCAGAAAAGTTGAGCATCTTGCCCTGGTTACACAGCTGCTGAGGGCAGGGCTGAGAACTGTACTCCTGTAGCTGAATCTGGAATACAGATGCTGTGATGACCCTGAGGGAGCGGCAAACACACAGTGACAGAGACCAGATGCCCCAGACTGAGCCAGGCATACACACATGCTTGCGCGTACACACACACACACACACACGTACACGTGGTCTTCATCTTTGTTGCTACAGAAGTCAGAGGACACAAGACGGCAACAAGGGGATCCAAAGGAAGGTCAATGTCTATTAGGAGGAGAAGCCACAGTTCCCAAGAGACCAGGGTATTCTCTTCCCTGATGAGTCTGTCTCAAACCCTAGATGCTTCTCCCTGGACTGAGTAACTAACTGTCTAGTGACCTGATTTAGCTTCAGAATTATCCTTCCCAAGGATTCAGCTAACACTGGACCCCACTGCTGTCAGTAACAAGGGGGAAGTGAGTATGTAGCCTGGGCTCAGATTTGTTTAGAGACAAAATTTATTAGGAGTACAAAAAACCATGAAGGCATTTGGCATGAACATCTCCAGAACACTTAAAAAACTTTCTGCTGTTTATTATACTCCACTCCTGTCACGAAAGTGGAAGACCTATTTCATAAATTAATTCTGTGCTTATCACACTCTTTCTTTAAAATATTCATTTATATATTTATTTATTTGGCTGTGCTGGGTCTTAGTTGCAGCATGTGGGAGCTAGTTCCCCAATCTAGTATTGAACATAGGACTCTGCATTGGAGGCTTAGACACTGGACTATCTGGAAAGATTCTCGTCATACTCTTGGGGAGTATAATGGGTCATACACCACCACTGAGGCCACCGTAGAGGACACATGTCTGTCTTATGCCTCCTGTGGTTAAGATGTGATTTACTGGTCATCAGGCACTCACACTCCCTGCAACATGGGTCTTCTCCCCTGTGTGTGTGTTCTAGAGTCTGATGAGATTGGACCTCACACTGAAGCTTCACCCACATTCCTCACGAACAAGGCTTCTCCCCCGTGTGTCCTCTGGTCTTTAACGAGAACTGACTTCTAAATGAAGTTTCACCCAAACTTCATGCAAACATACGGTATCTCCACCCTGTGTAACCACTGGTTTCTGATGACACCTGTTTCTGACTGAAACTTCGCCCACACTCTCCACAAACATAGGGCTTCACCCCTGTGTGTGTCCTCTGTTGTCTGATGAGATCGGACTTCTAACTGAAACTCTGCCCACTCTCCCCACAAACATGGGGCTTCTCCCCTGTGGGTGTCTTCTGGAATCTGATGAGACTGGATCTCATGCTGAAGCTTCACCCACAACCCACACAAACAGTGCTTATCCCCTGTGTGTGCTCTGGTCTCTAATGAGAACTGACTGCTAAAAGAAGCTTCACCCATACTCCCTGCAAACACAGGGTTTCACCCCAGTGTGTGTCCTCTGGTGTGTAATGACACCTGACTTCTCAATGAAACTTTGTCCACACTCTCCAAAACATAGGACATCTCCCCTGTGTGTGTCTTCTGTCGTCTGATGAGAATGGACCTCACACTGAAGCTTCACCCACAAACAGGGCTTCTTCCCTGTGTGTCCTCTGGACTCTAATGAACTGACTTCTAATTGAAGCTTCACCCACACTCCTTGCAAACATAGGGTTTCTCCCCTCTCGGTGTCCTCTGGTGTGTGAAGACACCTGACTTATGACTGAAACTTCGCCCACATTCTCCACAAACATAGGGCTTCTCCCCTGTGTTTCTCCTCTGGCTTGTGATGACAACTGACTTCTGACTGAAACTTTGCCCACATTCACCACAAACATGGGCGTTCTCCCCTGTGTGTGTCTACTGGAGTCTGATGAGATTGGACCTCACACTGAAGCTTCACCCACACCCGCCACAAACATGGCTTCTCCCCTGTGTGTCCTCTGGTCTCAGAAATGACTTCTAACTGAACTTTCACCCACACTCCCTGCAAACATAGGGTTTTGATGTGTGTGTGATGACACCTGACTTCTAATTGAAACTTGGCTCACTGTTCACAAACATAGGGCTTCTCCCCGTGTGTGTCCTTTCTTGTCTGGTTAGACGAGACTTCTGACTGAAACTTCACCCATACTCTTCAAAAACACAGGGCTTCTTCCCTGTGTCTTGTTGTCTGATGAGATGTGACTTCGAACTGAAACTTTGCCCACACCCACCACAAACAGGGCTTCTCCCCTGTGTTACCTCTGGTCTCTAATGAGAACTGACTTCTAAATGAAGCTTAACCACACTCCCACACTCCCTGCAAACATAGGGTTTCTCTCAGGTGTGTGTCCTCTGGTGTGAGATGACAACTAACTTTTGACTGAAACTTGGCCCACACTTCCCTCAAACATAGGTCTTCTCCCCCGTGTCTTCTTTTGTCTGATGAGATGGGACTTCTCACTGAAGCACTGCCCACACTCCACACAAACATGGGGCTTCTCCCCTGTGTGTGTCTTCTGGAGTCTGATAACATGGGATCTTACACTGAACTTTCTCCCACACACCCCACTAACAGGGTTCTCCCCTGTGTTTCCTGTTCTCTCAGAACTGACTTCTGAAGATTCACCCACACACCCTGCAAACATAGAGTTTCTCCTCAGTGTGTATCATCTGCTATGTGATGACACCTGACTTCTCACTGAAACTTTGCCCACAGCCCCGACAAAAGGCTTCTACCCTGTATTTCCTCTGGTCTCTAATGATAACTGACTTCTAACTGAAGCTTCACCCCTTCTTGCGAACACAGGGTTTCTCCCCGGTGTGTGTCCTCTGGTGTGAGATGACAACTGACTTCTCACTGAAACTTTGCCCACACACTCCACATAGTGCTTTTCCCCTGTGTATCTATCTTCTGTTGTCTGATGCGATGGGACTTCTCACTGAAACTCTGCCCACAGTCTCCACAAACATAGGTCTTCTCCCCTGTGTCTCTCTTCTGGAGTCTGATGAGATTGGACCTCACACTGAAGTTTCACCCACAGCCCCCACAAACAGGGCTTCTCCCCTGCGTGTCCTCTGCTCTCTGCGAACTGACTTCTAATGGAAGCTTCACCCACTCTCTCCTCAAAGATACAGTTTCTCCCCAGCGTGTGTCCTCTCATGTGTGATGACACCTGACTTGACTGAAACTGTGCCCAGTCTCCACAAACATAGGGCTACTCCCCTGTGTGTCTTCTGTTGTCTGATGCGATCGGACTTCTGACTGCAGCTTTGTCCACACTCCATGCAAACATAGGGCTTCTCCCATGTGTGTGTCCTCTGGTGTGTGATGAGACTTGACCTATCCTTGGAGCCTTGCCCACACGCTCCATACTTGACTCTTATAATCCCTGAGACTCCTGCCCCCATGAATAACTTGCCAGTTTCTTCTGCAGTCACTTTCTGGCTCGTGCTGGGCTCTTATATCATTCTCTCATGCACCCTCATTTGTCTTTTGGGTGAGTAGGAAGAGACCACTGAAATCCTCTTCAGCCTTATGCAAAATGTGGGGCCTTTCAGCAAAGGATGGGGCCTTTTCTTGCCCTCTCGATGCTTCAGTTTGTCACTCAGGCTATGTGGATCAGATTATCGCAGCTGCTGATTTTGATTGCCTGGGCAGGGATCCTCTGGTCGGAGTTGGTCTCTTGCAGATGGTCTCAGGAGGATCTGAGAGGAATTTTTACTGGAGAAGGCCAGAGAGCAGGATACACAGGGTAGATCTTGGGCTTTGGTTCTGGTGAAAGAGGAAGCTTTTAGTCAGGTAGCTGGTTTGCCATGGTACTGCCTGCCCCACTGATCATCTTAGTGTTGACAGTGCACAATTTGTCTCCCATCAAGTGTGGCTTTACAGTCCTCTTTTCCATTCTATTCTTATTCTCTACAACTACAGAAATCCAGGAAGCCTGTGTTATGGGCCTTTTCTACATATTACCCAGACTAGGGACCTTGCAGTAGCATCAGAGACAGTGTCTCTCCTGACAGAGGTGGATCGGCAGGGACCTTTCCCTGTGTGTATCTGGAAAGTGATGTCACAGTGGCCACAAGTATTTTGCCCTACTGAGAGATAAGACTCTTGGTGACTTAGGTGGAATCTCCCTGAATGGCTCCCTCTGAGGGGAAAGAGTCTCTTAAGTTAGGAGTGCCTGGCCTGGAGCTCACTGCATATGGGAGGCAGCACAGGGGGTGATTAGAGCAGGTGTGAGTAAAACTGAATTTGAAACTCCTTATTCAAAGAGTAGTCTTTGTGCTAATCTGTGCAGGAAGTGGGTTTCAGACTGGATGAGATCAAAAGGCCCAGGTCCCACTGACTACAGGTCTCTGGCTCCTGCTACCCCAACTGTTTCATAATTTGCTCCTTTCTCTGTTTTCCGTAAATCATAAAATAAAGATGTGTCCTTTCTCAAGCCTCACCAGTACTCACACCTCATTTATTTCACTCAGTTTTAGTCCATTTAACATGCACTAAGAAGCCCTGGTTAAAAATACACCTCCAACCAGACTCCTCACACCCTCACTCCCATGCATCTTCAGTCAACCCACTCTTCCCTCATATCTGGCAAGGAACTGACCTGAGGGTACTCCCTGCTGCTGTCTCTTCCCAAAAATGAGTTGCAGCATTGTCTTAGCACAGATACCATGCCACTTGCAGCTGAAAGCTGCACGGTTGCTCTGTGTCTCCAGGAATACCCCTGGGGGCCTGCATCATGGACATGGATGCCAAGGCTTTGGTGTTACATCCAGCCTCCTCCTTCTCTCTCAGTGCTTGCTCCTGCAATCACTCGCATGACTTCTCTTCCCAGCCCTGGGGCTACAGCACTGGTTGCTCCCCTGCCGGGAATCCTTACCCAGAAGTGTCATCTCTGCAGAGACCCTGCCCCTCCATCCTCCACCACATCCCACCCTCTGCTCATACTGACCCAAGGCACTTTTCCTGCACTGGTTTTCCTCAGAGCACCACCCCTGCCTGGTATGAAGCCAATGCTGCCCCAAGGCAGTGGTTCTGTCTGTTTCAGTGCGTGGAGCCCTGTCTGGCACAGAGTATGAACTCACTTGACAACAAACTGAAACAGTAACTGAATGCAAATCACTGTACGCATGTCACTCAGATATGTGTAGGAAATGAGGAAGAAACAGGTAAAAGTGAGAGGGCTGGTATGTGCTAGAAAACTTGCTTTTCACTTATACGCCTTTCAGCAGAAAGGGTATTACATATTTTTTGCATGAAATATTGAACATCAGAACTACCATTTTTAATATAAACATTTTCCTAACAGTCATATGAAATAAAGCAAATTCTGAGGCATTTTAGTTGCAACCTGACTGACTCTAGACTGGATTGTACCCTGCTTCAGAATTGGACCAAGGAGGCTCCCCAGGACGTGGTGGGGGCACCGGAAGAGAGGTGGCACTCACCTTTCCTAGCCACGAGCTTGCTCTTTTCCCTGATGTCCTGCTTGATGCCAAGTTCCTTGCCACACTCGTCTGCACATCAGACCTGAAGTTCACAGCCCAGCCTGACCACCTGGCAGATTTGGTAGAAGACCTGCCATACTGCAAGGCCATCAGGTTCTGCTCCTCTCGTCGTCCCAGGCACAGTTCACATACCTGGGGTATAGGCCAGGAAAGGGAAAGAAACCACAGGTGACGAGTCCCCTCCACTGTCAGACCATGCCCAGCTCCTTGCCTTCAGACTCTGAGGCCACCATGGCTCCCACCACCCCTCACAGGGACCTTCTGTTCACACCTTCAACCAGGCCATGTGAATTCCTATTTCCAGATCCTGTTTCTGGTCCTCTTCCTGGTTGGAATGCTCTTCTCTCCTTACCTAATTAGCCATTGTCCAGGGCCCAGTTCCAGACCTGTCTCCACCTGGACTGTCCATTAAGACTGGTAATCTCCAGCTCCTCTAAACTCTAAACTAAGTTCTCTTTCATTCCACAGGACTTTGTGCTCCTAAGCTAGCATGCGCCACTCAGCACTCAGCCCAGCCTGCCTTCTTTCCCAAGGCTTTTCTCCAATCTCCCCACATGTATACAGGGTCCTATTCACTTGCCCACCCTCTCCCATGGAAACTTGGAGAGTGCTCTGATGTAGTTTGAGACACACAACAGTAAGAGTTTGTTCACTTTCTGCCTGCCCTGATCAAAGGAGAGGCCCTCAGAAAATGGCCATGCTCATGGCCATCTTGCCCTCCCCTATTCCTTCCCAGGCCTCAGGGCCCACTTCTCACTGGAACAGAGCCTGGAGAGGTTGTTGCCCACATGGGACTCAACATCTCCCATGTTACATTACCCTGGTGATGTGGAGTTATTAAAAAATATAAAAATTAAAGTTACTATCCCTAAAACCGATTGGTTAAAGTCTGTCTGCAGTATGTTCTCCAAAAGGACATGGGT